GGTCAATATCGGTATCGGACAATTCTCAAAGTTGTAATATCGGTATCGTATCGGAAGTGAAAAAGTGGTATCAGGACATCCCTAGCTATTTTAATGTGAAGCAAACTGAGATCGAAATAAGAAGCATCAAATCCAGCAGATCTACACAGAGCTCAGAAGATACAATTGAACCCATTAAGACACGTTCCACTCATCTGACCATCACATCTTAATGATTTATTTGTTCTAACAGACTCGCTGTAGGAGCTTTGAGAACCCACAGTTCACACAAAGTTCTTGGATCTGTTGAATGATTGTTGGCTCTTCAAACTCCTGCTGAACATTGGTTCCAACTTTGCTCTAAAAATTAAACCAAAGACCCACCACACACACACGGTGTTAAAATCTTTTGTTTTAACATGAATAAGAGGATAAATAAGCAGCAGATAACATGATTTAACAGTTTTATCATTAATCAGAAGTCTCTGAGCACAGGGCAGTGCTGCCTTTACAATCACTGTTTTCAACTGTTTGAAGCTTCAACCGATGATGATAAAGATAAAATAAACACGTTAATAAAAGAAGGCTCACTGACCTGCTGCTGCCATGTGTTCGCTGGTCCTGATTGGCTGAAAGCCCACAAAGGGGATCTGCATAGACAGAATCAGGCCCACGATGTAGAAGGTGCTGTAGGCTGCAGAACAAAGCAAAGCTTCTCTCAGACACAGGAAGAACACACAGCTTCTTCATCCCCATGCTTCAACACAAAAACTGGCAGCCTCTCAGTGTTACGGAGGTGTGTGTGTGTGTGTGTGTGTGCGCGCGCGCGCGCCGATTTAGCTGTTGGAAAACAGTTTATTTTTCTCTCTCTGTCAGAGAAAACATCCACATCAAATGGTCCTTTTTGTGTTCATTTACAAACGCAGGTTAGATTTCCTGAAAGGTATGCATGATAACAGCCAGAATTATAAACAAATCAGTTTATGATGAGAAATGATCGTAGCGTTTTGGTCAAATCTTGAACACGAGCTATGAATCAGCTAATCCATGATCACCTTGCCAAACTTTGGGGTTTTTACACTACGTAAACTTCTGTAAACTTTGTAAGCAGCATGAGGACGATCGCTGGTATTTTAAGAAGCCAGAGGAAGAGATACAGAATAAATGCAACGYCAGCAGCTGTTGTGTTTTGTTTTCACAAACTCCAGTCCAGGTCAGTTCGTTAATTTTTTTTTCTACGCACATAAATTTTGCAAACTTCCGTAAGCAGGGTGTAAAGTGTCATTATATGAGTTTAACATTATCTCCAAACAAAGTATCGTTTATTGCAATAATTTCTGAGATAATTTATCGTCCAGCAAAACTTGCTATCGTGACAGGCCTACATGTTGCTATTTCATGTATTAACCACAAAAAATGTAAGGTCCAATCTGTCAACCTGAAATGAATCATGTCTGAACGTGAACCAGTTGTAGTCATGCAAAAAATTGTTGTTCAGTTTCGTCCACCTGTGATTGCTGACTGTGTGAAAATAGTGTGATGATTATTATTA